TCATTTTCTCGGTATGTTTAAAAATTATGATGACACTGTAATGTTTTCCAATCTACCTGTGTGAAGGGGAAACGGATCACACTACTTAGGAGAGAGACTAGAGTATATTATTAGAGCTTAATTAATGCCAAACTGATTAGATTTGATTGCACTTTGCACAATAATATTGTTAAGAAATTTATTTAAAAGATATGTTGCATAATGCTATATTTAAAACAACCGGTCTAGATCTGAAGAGATTTTGACCAAAATGCCACATAATGCAAGTCACAAGTTAATTTTGTTTGGCACTGCCTACGTTCTATAGGTCTTATCCATATCATGATACCCAGTACAGCTCTCGATCACCTGTGGGAAGACAAAAATATTTGGTACTCCTGTGATATAGCGGTGTCATATCCCTCCATTTCCTGTTGGGGAGCAGCATATGGGCATCTAGACTGTGGGAAAACCCTCATAACCTCAAAACTACCAACATCCAAACCCTGCTGATAGCATGGAAAAAAGTGACCGTAGAGTGACAGATCCAACTTGATAAGTCTTTTTCAGACAGTTTTTTTACCTCTGACCTTATAATACAGGTTTTCTAGTGATAGGATGAGGGGGAATGGATACAAACTGGAAGAAGGCAGGTTTAGATTAAACATTAGGACGAAGTTTTTTACTTTAAGAGTTGTAAGGCACTGGAACAGGTTGCCCAGAGAGGTTGTTGAGGCCCCATCCCTGGAGGTGTTCAAGGCCAGGCTGGACGTGACTTTGGGCAGCCTGGTCTAGTCGGAGGTGTCCCTACCTATGGCGGGGGGGTTGGAACTCGATGATCTTTAAGGTCCTTTCCAACCTAAACCATTCTATGATTCTATGAAATATTATAAGCAGAACTGATTATCTGTTTCCAGTTTTCTGTTGTCATTTAGCAATGTCGTTAGTACCTGTATTTTATAGCACCATGTTCTGTATTAATAGTAAATATTCAGGCATTCTGTGAAGTCAGGAACAGGGAGGTAACCGTGATGCTTTGGGGCAGACCACAAGAAAGCAAAATTGACTGACCTAAAAGATACTGTTATCACACTAAAATTATTGATGCTCACTCACTGCATTTCATTTGGTGGATGCATTGTATTAGTGTAGCTTCAAGGCATATTTTGAAACTTTGACCTGCTCCTGAAACAAATAAATGTCTGGTTTATGCATTTATAAATATCCTCAGTAGCACCAATTCAGGCTTCTCCTTTATCAGAAAATTTGCTGTCGACAAATATTGAACAATTACCATATCTTCTTTTAAAAATTATGCTATTTTTAATTAGATCTGGTGTTCCTTCCCATGAATACATCATTGGACACACTTTCTAATACTGGAAAGGTGATTTTGAAATTGCAAATGCGGTATTTTTCTGCTAAATCTGTTTACTAGATATACCAGCCCTTTAAATTTCTGTGATCACGAACTCACAGGACAAAATCTTGCCCACGGTTAGTGAATGAGAGTTTTCCCATTGGCTTCAACAGTTCGAGTTTATCTATAATATTGTGTATCAGGCTTACAACAAATGTCCATGATAGGTTAGCAATTCTTGTGACTATATACTTTCCCCCCAAATGGAATTTTGTTGTTTCCTCATTTTACCTATTTTTAAATACAAATTTGCACCAAATGTGACACACAGAAGGCTTTTTTTTTTCCCAGCAGCATTTCAGCACTCCCTTAATTTATGTTATGGCACTGGCACAGGTTGCCCAGAGAGGATGTTGAGGCCCCATCCCTGGAGGTGTTCAAGGCCAGGCTGGACGGGGCTTTGAGCAACCTGGTCTAGTGGGAGGTGTCCCTACCTATGGCAGGGGGGTTGGAACTTGATGATCTTCAAGGTCCCTTCCAACCTAAACCATTCTATGATTCTATGTTTAAAATTTCCTCCATATTTTCTGTAAGTTATTATATATTTTCGATAAAACTGAGTAAGCAATCTCAAAAATGATTTTCCAGAATTCCGTAGTAATTCATATGAGTACGTTTGTCAGGGTATCATCAGTTCCTACAAATATTTTAGATTAGGGTTTGAGCTTTTGGGATATTTGTCTGAGCAATCTCTTTTTCTCATGCATGTGTGTGTTTGTGTAAATCACAGATTCACCTAGGAAAAACGTAAAACAAAAAAATAGTGGGTCTTATTTGAAGTTTTTATAATTGTGCTTCTACTAAAAAAGATATGAGGTTGCTTGCTGAATGAAAGAGCAACTGAATGATAAAATTTAGTCTTTAGATACTCCATGTGCATGCACACAGAATCTGTATACCCGTCTATACCTAAGTAGAGTTCTTTATTTTTAACTAAACTAAACCTTGGTTTCTTGTAATTAAAGATTTTTGTCTTTTCTTTTTTTTTTTTTTTTTTTTGTCTATTTTAGTCTCTCATGCAGCACTTTCAGTGTTTAGTCCTACTTTGGCCTACAACATTATTTCTCATTCTGAGACCCTTAGTGCTTCTTCCCATCTCAAAGTGTGTACTGTCACTTGTCACCCAAACTCACAGCACCAACTCTGGCAGAGCTGCCAGTATGAAAACAGGAGCAGAAGTGAGTCCATGGCAGAAATACAGTGCCTGAAAGGCTTCAGAAAGACAAAATCAGCCTGTTTCAGGCAAGGTAGTGCGACAGTCCAGCCTGTCTTACAAGCATACTGACCTCTTTTTATCACCCAAAAATAAAATCTTCAATCTTTTTATTTTTTCAGCACAGCAGGAAAATAAGGAATCAATGATTATCATTGTTAACCAATGCAATGTTAAGATACACTACCATGTATAAATAAAAATTATACTTTAAGTTTACACTTTATTTTTGTATTTTCAGAATGTAAAATATATCTTACACTGCTGGAATCATGCCAATTTATAACAGTTGAAAATATATCTTGGAGAAATGCATCTAGGACTCCATCCCCATGTGCATGAGTGGTTAATCATGTTCAGGCATCTTAGCTGATCTCAGCTGATAGGATACAACATACTGAAGAGGTCACGGTCTCTGAAACAGATGGCTCAAGCCAAAAAAGAACATTACAAATGATAAACATTTTCTCAATATGTAATTGCATTCATCCGCAGCATTATTGAACAGCCCCAATCCAACATGCAATCTGTATGGGGTCTCAGGATTACCTCACCCCTTCATACTAAAGCCATCTTTTGAGCTTTGCTCTTTTATTCATTTTAAGATGGAATTACTATGATTTACCTCTAAGAGAAATCCCGCATCATGGCCAAATCTTGCAATAAGCTGAACCCTTATAACTCCAAGAATTGACTTGCAGCAGCTGCAGATTATGTCATGTATTGATCTTCAAGATCTGGTTGATGTCATCACTGTTCCTGAGCCCCAAAATATGTCTTCTGAAGCATGTGAAACTTACTAAAATCCTTGAGGCAATTTTCCAGGACCAGATCATCAGCTGGTATAAAGTGACATCAACGGAATGATGCCAATTTACCCCAACTACAGCTTTGGCTTCCAAAGTGGTGCCTGAAGCAGAATTTCTTGTGAGAAAATATATTGATGCCAGTCTTTGAAAGCGAGAGTTATTATCTGCGTGAAATTAGTCTAGGTTGCCAAAAGAGCCCGTATGCTAAATTTGATACTAATGAACAGTGTTGACAAAAAGAGGTTATGTATGAAATTTGAGACTAATGAACTAAGGTGGCATAAAAGTGAGCATTTGGAGAGTAAAGTAAAGGCTCTAATGGAGTTAAACCAACCCACTCATTCTGTTGAGATTTTTATGTTTCTGTCTCCTTATATTGTAAAGTAAATTTCCACCCCAAGAAATGTCCTGATCTATATTTTAATGAGCCTCTCCACGTGACATACATTTTTTGTTTCATTACTATTAGTGAATGACAAGTGAAGGATATTCATTTTAGCTTGAAAATGTCAGGTATGCACTTTAAGAGATATATTTTTCCAGTTTTTAATGAGGTGGTGTTTCTTTTTGAAAGAAATACCCATCTCTGATGTGGGTACTATGCAAGTGACAACTGATATTTAATAAGTGATGGTTCTTGTATTAGTCGTAGTTCACTAAAGAAAATGTCTCGGATTGCTTTTGAAAAACTCTTAGCGTCACTAGCCCAAAGGCAAGATGTGACCTTTTTATTACATAATGAGAATCATTTATTATCTTACAATGTATCTTAAAGTCACAGACAAAATGCCACTTTGATAATTGCTTTCAATTAGCTTTGAGCATAGCATACATTCATAAAATGTCTTCTCTAATTTAGACTTGAATTAGAGAAAATTGCAGACATAATCTACTTTAAGGTTGTCTCATTTAAGGTGATTCGTAGTTTTATATCAAAGAAATCAAAACGGGTGGTTTTAGAGCAGTCTTACAAAGTGTTTTAAATAGGCTTTTCAATATTTGGGTCTATTCTATTAACAATTAATTAACAAATTAGAATGCTAGTTCATGTTTTTTGACCTTTTTTATGTATTAACTTTTGTCTTTTGCTCATAATGGTTGTTTTTAAATTAAGCAGTGTCCTGTGTTAAAAGAGAAGTACAGCTTGATTAGATGTATAAATAAAGCATACAAAGACATAGCTTATTTCTTAATAATATTCAACAGCTTGGTCTGTCAGCATGTATGTCCTTTCCAACTTTTAAATCCTTATTTGTCTTTGTAGATATGTAAAATATCAACAGCAAGCAATAAATCCCACACTCAAAAGTAATATCGCGTATTGGCATGTATTTTATTGGCATATGATTTTTAATATGGATCATATGTAGAATTTAAAGTATTTGTGGAAACAATGATTACACATAGATTGGTTTACTGCATAGTAACATCATTCATAAAAAATACAGGTATTTTCCTTTCATCTTTGATTAAATGAAGAAGTTTTGGAAGTCACATATAATCATAATTCAGGTATCTTAGACACTTGGAATTGAACTAGCTCAAGGGATAACTCTGTTTTTCTTCTTTCCTCCCCCAGATAAAAATTACCCACAAGAACCAAGCCCCCATGTTGATGGGACCTCCTCCAAAAACCGGTCTTTTCTCTTCTATCATCAAAAGAACAAGGAACCACAGCAAGGAATAAGCCTATGTAGTTTAGTTTTTAGAAAACGAATTAGCTTTGTTGGGCTTTGGATTATTTATGCTGGAAATCTTTCAAGAATTTTAGAATATCTTCTACTTGCAAAATCATGGATTTTGGTTTAACAGTTTCTGTAACTGAGCTAATGTAAAACTATGCTACTAGAAAAAAATATTGTCACAGTTTTGTAGGCATTTTGCATGATGAAAGCAGATGTTTACATAAAGTGATACAGCATATTTTTTGTTGCATGCGTTACCATTTAATAATCTATGGGCTAAATCTGCCATGGGATATGGGAAGAAAATGCCATGGGTAATTTGATTTTTCTCTTTTTTCCATTTTCACTTTTTCTACTGCAGTGATCATATGCCGTACGTTCATAGTATCTCTTGACTCAAATTTCTTCACATCAATAGCCAATTAGACCTGTTTCAGAGTAAAGTTTATTACAGGTCTCATTAGCCTGTGCTTTTGTTTATCATTTCTTTCTACCCTGAGAATATTTTTATTCAGCTAAGCATTAAAATCTTATATCTTGTTCTGATAACTCCTATGTATGTGAGTAACTGTACCTGCTGAAAACGTCTACCAATATGTGCAGTATTCAAATGATCATGATTACTCTTGTGTAAGTTTTCGTAAGATTGGAAGTCAAAGCAAGTTTGAGCAAAAACTGTAAGGCTAAGGAGATCACGCTAAGAGTGAAGATAATGCTTGCAAAACTAGCTATCAGTGTTGTTTGTTCAAACACTAGAATTATTTTAATGAGCAATACATCTCTGTAACGTGGCAAACTTTAAATCATTCTGCATATTGACCGATAGCATAGTGCGTATGCACACAAATAACCAAAGCTCATGCCTAATAAAGAGCATTTCCCACCAAAGATTTAGTGAAGGATGCTTCAGAGAAATGGGTTAATGCATAATTAATCAAGCTCACTGGAGCAGACGCACTTCTGAAAATTTACAGTTCTTTTGATTATGTTGGCAATGTCCAGACAAATGTTGGGGCAGGAAAAAACATTAAATTAATTGCGAGTAAATACTCACTTTTCATTTGTTTCATGAGTTGAGAGACATAGACACATACTCTAAATATTGAGACATAGACATGTACTCTAAATATCGGAAAATTAAACTTATATCTAATTTTATTGTCATTATTATTATAAATTTATGCCATTCATAGTTCACTTATCCCCTAAATTAATCTCTGAAGGAAAGGATAAACTGTTATCTATTCCCCTTTTGTAGTCTGCTGTCTGGAATCAAACATTTCTTGTTGTAAGTTTTGGGGAGGTTCAGGTTTTTACTTTCTTAGCCCTCTAGAGACTTCCTAACAGCTTAGAAATCATAATACAGGGATTTGTCTGAGGTTTGCACAGCACTGTCTAATGTTGAAGGGAAGTCCAAGAATGGCAACTTTTTTTCAGTCTTGCATACAAACAGTCTCAATCACAACTTTTTGTGCAATCTTAACATTGTTCTTAGTTCAGAGTGAGCTGCTTCTCAGGTCTGCATGTCTTAGGTTCTCAGAGATTTCATCAAAAAACAAACAAGAAAAAAATAAAATTTTGCTTGAAATGCATGATTTCCCATTTTTATCTAGACTTTAAATTGTTAATGATTTATTAAATCTATTTTTCTATTGAATCATTCATCCATTAAAAAAATGGTACTTCATCATTCTGTAGTGCACGATACTGTGCATGTATCTAAAGAAAGTTACTATCATTTGTTCCTCAGTATAAGAATTCAACAGAGTCCTAATTTATATAATAGACACTGAAATAAAAATCAGTATATAGTTGGTAAGGATTATGTCTTTGAAATATACAGTCTGTGTTCCGTAAACTTTAGGAGGTAAATACCAATTAATGTTATGTTCAGCATTAGGTAGAAAAACATGAGGGCAAATATTTGCTAAAATTTAGATCTTGTAATTCCCCATTCTTGGGTCCGGTGGTGTTGACAATTACAGTTACTGCAGGAGTAAACTATTATTTTTCCTGTGCATTGCAAACACACACATGGAAGCATTTGATGCACTTATCTGCAAACATACATAAGTATAGAGCAATGGATATCTGCAAAAAGAAGGAACTTGCTGACATAATACTACATAAAGTGTACAGTGGTTTTATGAATTATGGTTATAGGTGATAAATATTTTCACATAATTTGACATAGGATTTTCTACCAATGCTCTCAACTTTTTGTGGCAAAAATGTGTTTAACAATACTATATAATGTGCTCTCTATGATTATCTCATGAATACTGTAACTCTGAAAATAAATAAAATTATACATAAGCTATTATTTAATAATGTATGCAATTTTAAATGTGCCAGTCTGTGATAGCAAATTTTTCATATAAAGGTGAATAGATACGTTCATGTAATCACAATTACACACAATTCTGACTAGACACATAAAAGGTAAATCAGTTCTGTTGGTCAGCATATATCGAATTCTCACCATAGCAAAATCTAATGGAGCAGCCATTTTACTATATTGGCACTTATCATAGCAGTGACAGTCTTTCTATTCGTCTTGTTTGGTTGGGCTTTTTTGCATGGCCTGTAATAACTTAAAACCATGCTCGGGTTGAAAGTATTGATGATGGAGAGAAAATCTCAGAGTACATAAAACATTGTATGAAATCAAAATTCCTGATTTAATGAAAGAGAACTTCAGAGGGGGGTTCTATCCTTTTTTTTCCACTTTAGTATGTACAGAATTAACATCATGAAATTATATATTGTGTATGAAGTGAAACAAAGAATATATGCATGTATCTTCAAGCTGAAATAGATGCATTGTTCTCACATGTATATGCATGTATCTTCATATAGCTGAAATAGATGCATTGTTCTCACATCAACTGAAGAGTAGTACCTGTTTACACCGTTTACACCAAAGCATTCTTTAAGGCCTCATTAATGACATTTGCGATATAAATAGAAATTATAAATATGTAGAAATTATATCTGACACTGGATTTGCAAATTTTTCATCTCTCTGCTAGAGCGTTGCAGCTGGGCAATGTGCTGAGGAAAGAACATGACGTCTCAGGAAGAAACCTTAACTTCTGAAATTGGTTAGCATCACTCTCATTTCGCATGAGTTCCTGTTAAAAGGAGGTGGAAGCAGAATTTGTTGCAGAGACAAATACAGAATTACTCTTTCCAGTACTTGCAAGATATTTGTATGTATGTCTTCATGATTATTTAAAGCTAGGGGGTTAGACCTTGTGATTTAGGCTTATTGGTGTGTGTACATGCATGTGCATGCTACATCAGGTAACATACTGATGTGCTTAGGACTTTGATGAGCTAGGAAACACCTGGTATTAGTTTCTGAAGCAGAAGTAGATGTTTTATAACATTTCCTCACTCTTATCAACTCTGTAGTAACACGTGTAAATGACAACAATTACCTAATATCCAAATTTATTTAATGCTAATAAAGTCACAGAGTTCAATGTATTTCAAAATACCAGTGTAAGAAGTAATATAGTCAAAGAATGTGTGGGTTTGATATAGTTATTGTAAGAAAGGGAGAAAAATACTTTTTTTTTTTTTAATCTATAGATTAATATTTGTTTGCTGAGACTATAGCTAGTCGGTGATTATTAGTGATTTAGGGTACTAGTGCTATTCTGTAACATAGTGCCTTCGTCTCCAACTGGCTTCTGGGGCTTGTGATTCTGAAGTGGATCATAGTGAGACCAAGGCTTTCTGGGAAGCAGTCACTTCAGAGAAGTGTTTGTCCCTCACCTCTCTGGAAGAGTGACTAGAGATGATGGCCGCAAAACTGGAAAAAAAAAAAAAACCAGAAATAACTATCTCTAGACAAGGAAACAGGAGAAGATCAGAGAACTCTGCTAAGGAATGACAAAATAGATGCTCAAAGTGATGTATGAAAGGGGTGGGTGGCTCCAAGACAGCCTACAGAAATGGTGGTGTGAGGCCAGGGAGGCCAGATGAAGGCAGTCAGGGCTAATGAGCAGTGGTGTGCCAAGGAAGTGAATTAATTAGATGGACCATTTAGGATTCCACTTAGGGCTGAAGGACTTGGGTGATGTTTCTTTCCTTCATGGGGAGAAAGCTTGTCTGATTGGAGTTAGTTCCCAGAGAATGAGGAACAACTGAGCCCTTCATATAAAGGGAGAAGGACTTGTGAGTGGAGAGAACTGAAGGATGGTCAAAGGAAGGTATAGGACTTGCTAGGGCTTTGTTTATTTCGGAATGCTTTTTTACCCTGGAAAAGAAAAAAAGAAGATGTTTGCCCTTGCAGCTAAATAGCAGTTTTGCCAAACTGCTAAGCAGTTAGCAGGAAAAGAGAGAAATACATTTAGAAAGCTGAGGTGGGCCCGAGAAGTACCGCTCAATGTTTTATGCAAGAGTGGTGAAGAACGTGTCGGCCTCTTGTCAGATAATTGCTGCTTGTCTCTAGCTCCATCAGGTCTGAAAGCATTTTGTTTTCCCTCCTCTGTCCATAAGGAAGGAAACTTCTTGTGGTCCTGCTGAGGTGAGTAAAAGCCTTACTGTAGCCCTGGTGGGAAAATAAATAAAACATAGGCGAGATCTGGAAGCTGAATCTGTTAATGCGATATAAAGTAACAGGTTAAATTTGGTGGTGTGTGATACTCTGAGGGTGTGCCGGGCAGCAATGACTGATGGTAAAAACTCTCTTCAGGTTTGTCAAGATTTGCTGGTGTCTGCCCAACCTGGGCTTGTGCCTTGGGGAGCTTCCTGGCTTTTATACCCCATTTGCTCTCAGACTATGAATTTTTAGTTGATTTTTGAATAAGGAGATTTGACCTTTCCTGTTCTGATTTGTGTGTCTGTGGCATGGATACAGATGGAGCTTTCCCATTATCAGGTTCACTTAATTTTGCAAGTATAGCTGAAGCAGAGAAACTTCTCTATGACCATTGACTGCCATTATGTGATACTACCTGACAGCTTGAAACTATAAATAGGAGACAATACATTCTAGGCATCTAGAATCTGGGCATGGTGGTAGTTCAAAGGCTGCTTTTTTTCCTTTCTGATTCATGATTCAAAGAGTCTACCTGAGAAGCACCTCAGGGCTCTCTTTAAATATGACTCATAAGAAGACCAAGTGATAATCACCAGGCTTTGTTATTTATAGAAAGGTGGTAGCTGTGTTGATGGTAAAACAGCAGTTTCATAGTGAGGTCCCCATTTCTAATAAACGTGGAAAAATATTTGCAGGATCTAACTGAGTGAGAAGCCAAGATTTTGAATTTTCAGGTCAATTTTTACTCTAAAGTTGATAATGACTGCAAGTACTTAGCTGCCGATTGGCCTATTTGAAATAAACTTTTGTTTGGAGTTGGTTTGGTTTTGGGGATCCTTTTACCTAGGGTCAATTCACGTGTTGTGAGGGAACATAGCAATTTGCATTAATAAGTAACTTTTCTGGACAGGGAAGTGAACGCTTCTTACTCTTTTCATGAAACTTATGCTTATGGGCCACACTCAGCCTGCCAATAAGAAAACACAAGTTGTCAATCTTCAGGCCTGTCGTTCTATTTATATTAAATACCAAAAAAAAAAAAAAACCCAAAAAAACCCCACCACATAATAACAATACTTCTTTGAACTGTTTCTTTCTGTAGAAAGTGGTGGTTTTTTATACCC